ATAAATAAAATCAGAAAGTATAAATTATATATTAGCTATATTTAATATATGAAACCTATACAGCTTATAACTTTAATAGAATAAAAATCTAAAATATTAACACAAACACAAATATATATATATATATGTTGTAATAGCAGAATAGCTCTGATTACAGGCTTCACATATTTAAGAGCAAACATTAATGTATTTTCTCTGAGATCAGGTATTTCCTTCAGTAGCCCTTCCTTCCTATTTTCTGATGACCTGCAATATTCCCGAAAAGGAGGAAGAGTGGGTTTCACAAAACTGCGACCTCCTAACCATACGTGCTGAAAAACAAGACCTCCAGCGCGCTTACGCAAGAAGTTACTGTCGGTCAGTCTAACAGCTGGCAAGAATAAGCGAAGAAACTTACCGACAACCACCAGCAGAGTCCATATCAGATAGATGCCGCTGTTGAAGTGCGTGGCGTACTGACGAAACAGACACATGAGGATCGGAGGCAAGACGAAGAACAGCACGTTGCTTATCTGAAACGAGACAGGACACTGGTAAACGCATGCAAAGCAGTCCTAAAGTTTACAGACTTCAGCTAGCAGCAGCTCATCTTGAGTGACACTGCAACTAAACACACAGACAGCAAAGAAGAGGGACGCACGGTGTTATAGAACTCCGCGATTCCGGGATAGATGAGATAATTCCCTTCACACCAGTCCACCTCCGAGCTGCCCGCCTGCAGCTGAGCCCACAGATGCGCGTCCATCGCTGTGCGTCGACAGCTTTAACGCACGCATGCGGAGACAGTTTGTTGTAATCAGTGATGCGTGTGTAGTCTTGTTATCTGAGCATGTCATCCTGCTGCCATCCAGTCCGAGTCTGATCCAGCTCTCCTGTGCCGCTCTCTGCCCTTCACTGACTGTACAATAACAACACAGCAACATGTGATTCGCGCATGCGCAGACCTGCGCTCGGATCAGCAAACAGGACAGATTAGTTTGGTTCATATTTACAGTCACATCTCACTAGTTGCCCAGGTACATTTGTGGTCTACAAGAGGATTCATGATATTATATATTACTTAGACCAAAGAAACTATATATATATACAGTGTTGGGGGTAACTCATTACAAGTAACGCGAGTTACGTAATCAGATTACTTTTTTCAAGTAACTAGTAAAGTAACGCATTACTTTTTAATTTACAAGAGAATATCTGAGTTACTTTTTCAAATAAGTAACGCAAGTTACTTTTTTTTTTCGAATGTATTGATTGACAGCTCTCCTGTCCCCATGTTGAGAGAAATCAGAAGATGTTACTGTAGTTCAAAATAAATATGAATATGCATTAATTAATCTCACTCACAAAA